TTTTAAAGAACCAGTAAAGTATATTCTAGAACTTAGTCTGAGTACAGTGCTGAAATCTTTTCCTTACCTTGGATTCATGGTTGTGTTAGTAGCTCTTGGGATTGATCACATTATCCTTTTCAGTAGACGTATCAGCCTGTTGATGGAGAAAAATGTAGCATAATGTTAGTAGTACTAGTCATACTGCCTAGTTGGAGATAGCCCTTTATAAGCTAGTTGTTAGTTTGAGGTCCCACTGACTTCTGTAAAATGGGGGATAATTGTAATTTGTACATCATACATGGGGATACAGAACAATCAAACCATAGAAAAGAAAATGCTTTAGTGATAATGCTATGATTATATATTAAAATTACAGAGTCCTGGTCTTAGTTGTCAACAGCTACATAATAGACCATTCAAAGCCATGGTTTATTCCTTGTGATTCTATGGCTTGGTGTCCATGTTACTGGACAATTCTTCACGTGTTACTGGCTGTGATTACTTATTGCTGCTTTGAGCTAGGACTTCTGCTGGGGCTGAAATACCTGATAGGACTTAACTTATATATTGCAGTGGGTGAACTGGCTGTATCTTTGTGAGCTGGGTAGTTTGACTTATTTGCCAGTGCAAGGATCCAAGAGAGCAAAAGGGAGACTCTCCATATGGACCTGCTAAGGGTTAGGCCCAGAACTGGAGCAGCCGTCACATGCACTGAATTCTGTTCAAAGCAACTCAACAAAGCTAGCCTGAACTCTGAAGAAGGAAATAAATTATACCTCTTGAGGAAGAGGTGTAGTGTCCAGGAACAGGAACAGTGGGAAATTAGTGGAGATCATCTTTGAAGAAAGTCTACCACAGTGAGCCAGAATGTTAGCCCCTTTAAATAGTTAGTTTAGTTTAATTTGATCTTTAATCCAGTTAAAGTTAGTTTTTTGTTTTGGCGGGCGGGGGTGCTTTGAAATAATGCTTCTTAGATATTTAATAGAAGTATGCCAGGTTTGGGGTTTTTTGTTTTGTTTGTTTTTTGGGTTTTTTTCTTTTTAATCTTTTGCAACTTGTCAGAGTCATTTACCCTTGACTTTGGGTGTGCAGGCCAGTAAGTAGACTAAGCTGCCTTACCAGCAGCCCTCCTGTTACCGGTTCTGGTTAATAGCTTTTAAGTTGTGTTTTATGGCAAATTCAGTGTTCAGCTTGAGGAAAGTCATGCTTAACTGTTTTTATTCCTAGGAAACTTAGAATTTCGGCACAAGTTAACCTCTGTAAAATAAGATATTTTTAGGAATACTGAAGTTACTAATAAAAATATTTCTAGTGACATTTATGAACACAGTGACTAAAGTTAAGTGAGTTTTCTGGTGTAGCTTTTTTTTTTTTTTTTTTTTTTTT